CCCGAAGCGGATGAGGCGGTCGAGGAATCGACCGCGCTCGAGGAGTCCGTTTCGCCCGAGGCCACGGATCCGACCGAGGTTCCCGTTCTTGAAACGGCGACCGAAGTCTCCACCGCCGAAGCCACCGAAACACCGGTGGAAGCCCCGGAAACCGTGCAGGCACCGGCCGCCACGGATGCCGAGCCGGTCGAAACGGTTGCGGCCAAGGGGCCGGAGCTGTCGTCCTCGGCTCCTGCCGAGGTCGCCTATGCCGTGGCGGTACCCGTCGAAACGGCGCGTGCCGAGGACACAAGCGAGGCAAAGAAGCCCGAGACCGCGGTCGCGAAGCCCGTGACGAGCGAGGAGGTCGTTGAAGCGGACACCCCGCAGGCCGTGCCGATGCCGCGCGGCCGGCCCAAGGATCTCAAGATTGCCGAGGTGAAGCGTGAGGCGCCGGCCCGCAAGGCCAAGACGGTCAACCGGCAGAAGAAAGCCCCGGCACGGACCCGCAAGAGCGGTGGCTCGCAGGGGGCCGGCGGTCGCGCCAAGGCGACCGCGCAGGCCGGTGGGGCGAAGCGCAGGACGGCTCGCGTCGAAGCCGGAAACGCAAGTGTTTCCAATTATCAGGGGCAGGTCCTGCGCCGGTTGCAGAGGGCCAGGCGGAGCGTTCGGGATCTGCGTCACGCCAATCGGGATGCGCATGTGAGGTTCGTCGTCACATCATCCGGTGGCGTCAGTTCGATAAAGCTTGTCCGCAGCTCCGGAAACGGACGTTTCGACTCCGCCGCCTTGTCGCTCGTGCGTCGTGCCGCGCCGTTCCCGCCGATCCCGCCCGCACTCGGGCGCCGCTCCATGCCCTTCACCGTGCCGATCGGGGTCAAGTGACGTCTGGCCGGCGGTCGCATGGGGGGCGTGGGACCTCGGACTGATCAGTCCGCATCGTCGTCGTTATGGCGCCTTGCGTGGCCAAGAGCCTCGCGGGCGCGGCGAATGGCGCTGGCCACGGCGCTTCGGTCGCCGGAGTTGGGGATCGCGGCGCGGGCGTCCTCGGCGATCAGCGTCAGGTGTCTCGTCAGGATCGGCACGTGCTCGGGCCTGGTGACGAGCGCCATGCGGCCGATGGCCTCGACCAGGCGCAGGCTGACCATGACGTTGCCACGCGTGGCCCGGCGCAGCGGATGAAGGGCGGTGCCGACCATGTCCTTGACCTCGAGCAACTCGATCCAGACACGCGGGTTTCCGTCGCTGTCGCACACAAGCGACGAGGGCACGCCGCGTTGCAGGATCAGGGCAAGTGATGCCGAGAGCTGGTCGAGCGCGCTGATCGCTGTATAGGAATCGTTGATTCCGGGCGAGAGCGCTCGAAGCGCGATTTCCACATTGAGATGAATGTTGAACTGGAGATCGCCGTCCGGCGCGCGCGCGTCCGCGATGAACACCGCGGCGCGGATCGCCTTCTCGTCCGGCTCCCCCCAGACATAGGCAAGCGGCTGGCCCGCGATGAAGAAGTGCCCCGGGCTCGCGACCATGCGGATGAAGCCGTCACACTCCTTCGCGGTCTTGAGAAGCGGGTCCTGCTGGACGGCCGTCACATAGCCCGAACGGGTGGACCTGACCGGCGTGCCCGGTTCGTCCGGCAGGCTCTTCCGGTCGTCGGGAGCCTCGCGGGGCTCATCCGCGAGGAGGCGCGCAACGGCGGAGCGAAGGCTGCGCTGGGTGCGGGCGATCTCGTTGTCCACCATGACCCTGCTTGCGGTGTCGTGGACGAAATAGACGAGCCAGAAGAAGCTCACCGTCGCAAGCGCGATGGCAACGGCGACCGCGAGCCTGGGCACGTCGCCGTCGGCAAGCAGGTAGAGAACGATCAGCGAATGCAGGAACGTGGCGCCCAGCAGGCCGATGGTGGTCTGGTTGACCCGGTTGTCGGTGAAGGTCTCGAGCAGGCGCGGCCCGATGTTTCCCGCTGCAAGCGTGAACACCACCAGTGTCAGGGAATAGACCAGGCTGAGCACGGTCATCATCGCGCCGGCGATGGTGCCGAGCACGGAGCGCGCGCCCACGGCGCTTATCTTGAGATAGGGAAGCTCGCGGAACAGGTCGCTGGCAAGCTGGGTGCGGTCGAAGGCCACCGTCGCGGCCGCCAGCAGGACGCCGCATCCGGCGAGAAGGCCGGGGAGGAAAAAGAAACCGCGCACCAGACGACGCAGCCGGACGGCAAGAGTTGATGGATCCACGCGTTTTCTCCGCTACCGTGTGGGAACGTTCCAGGCCGTGAGGAGTTCCCCTCAAAAGGGCGCCGTCGACATCCCGCAGGATAGGCGCCCTTTGCGCCAAGTCCATCTCACGCTTTCCGGGCGGCAGCGCCGGCCGGGGCCATCCCCTTCACCAAGGAGCACCCCATGCCTGGCCATCGCCCCGTCGCCGTAAACCGTTCAAGGGCGGGTCTTGTCCGCCTGGGTCTTGTCGTGGCCATGATCGCCGTGCCGCAGGCACTCAATGCCCAGGTGCCGCGCGACAAGCCGGGGGAGGGCGTGGGGGCACCGGAGCAGGGGCAGGCCGACGTTTCCGGGGCCGGACGAAAGGACCTGCCTCGCCAGAAGCCGGAAACACCGCAAAAGAGTGAGCCGGCTCCGGAGGTGTCGCGTTCGGACGCCCTGTCGGCGTGCCTCGCGGCGCTGTCCGATCTCGGCGCGCGCGTGCGTCCGCTGGAGGTGCGAGAGGAGCCCGGCGACTGCGGGATGACCGAGCCGGTCGCGCTTTCGGCCGTCGGGGGGATGCGCATCTCGCCCGAGGCCGAGCTTTCCTGCCGGACCGCGCTGGCCTTCGCGACCTTCGCCGCGACCAAACTCTTTCCGATGGCCGAGGAAACCCTGTCCAGTCCCGTCGCGGCGGTTCGTGTCGCGGGAGCCTACGAGTGTCGCGGGCGCAACCGGCAGTCCGGCGCACAGCTCAGCGAACATGCCTTCGGGCGTGCGATCGACGTGCGTGGGCTGGTGCTGGAAGACGGCGCGCGGTGGGACGTGCGCCCCCTGGAAGCCGGGGATGATGATGCCGGTGCGAGGTTCCAGCGTGCCTTGCGTGCGGCGGCATGCGGTCCCTTCACCACGGTTCTGGGTCCTGGCGCGGACGCCTATCACGACGACCATCTGCATTTCGACACCAAGCCCCGGCGTTCGCCCTATTGCCGATAGGACCGCGCCTTTTGTCGCAGGGGCGGTGCGTCGCATGGCACGAGAGGGCGGGGCGTACGAATTTGCGCGGGTGAGCCGGTCCTCAGGAGGGCGCTTCCGTGCAAGGTGTGGGGGCGTTCGGACCGGCATCTGACAAAACGGACGGATCCCCCCATGACGAACAGGCCCACCCGCCTTCTCGAATACATTCCCGTGCTCGGCTGGATGCTGCGCAGCGCCAGGCTCGGCGGAACCTTCGAGCGCTATGCCTTCGCCTTCAACATCGCGGCACTCTGGTTTATCGCGCTGGCGTGGTTTGGATATCCCCTGCTCATCGTGACGATGCTGTCCCTGACAGGGATCTACCTCTTCGGTCTTGTCTATGTGACCTCGCGCGGCCTCTGGTCCGGCCAGTCCTGACCGGGCCCGCTCCCGGCTCAGAACGTCGGCGGTGTACAGGCGCTGACGACGACGCAGGACTCGCGGCCGACCGCCCGGAAACGGTGCGGCCGCGTGCTGTCGAAGAGATAGGCATCTCCCGGTCCCAGTATCTTCCGGCTTTCGCCGACCGTGACCTCCAGCCGGCCGCTGACGATGACGCCGCCTTCCTCGCCCGTGTGGGTGAGCATGACGCGGCCCGTGTCGGCGCCCGGCTGGTAGGTTTCGTGCAGGATCTGCAGCGACCGCGAGAAGAGGGAGCCGCCGACCTGCCGATAGGAAATGCCGCCGCGACCGATCTCGGTCAGGTCTTCCGCCGCGAAGAATACCTGCTCCTCCGGCTCCGGTTCGAAGGCGAAAAACTCGGACAGGCCGATGGGAACGCCGTCGAGCACCCGCTTCAGGGCGCTGACGGAGGGGTTCATGCGTCCCGATTCGATCAGAGATATCGTGCCGTTGGTGACACCGGCCCTGCGCGCAAGCGCACGCTGGGACAGGCCGCGCGAGACCCGCACCGCCTTCAGACGGGGGCCAAGGGTCCTGACGAACTCGTCCTCGTCGCCTTGCATGTTTACGATCCTGAACGTTTGAACCTCATGACATGTTAGATCAATAAGTTACGGTATGGAAGAAACAGACTGTTTCCCCGATCCGGAACCGTGTTCTCTCGTGAGAGGGGACACTTCCGAGAAGGAACAGCCAAATGGACCAGACATTGCCCGGAGCCGGACAGGCCGGCCACAATCGCCCGCTTGACGCCTACTGGATGCCGTTCACCTCGAACCGGCGCTTCAAGGCGGCCCCGAAGCTGCTCGCCGAGGCCAAGGGCATGTATTACCGCTCGGATGACGGACGCGAGGTGCTCGACGGCACCGCGGGCCTTTGGTGCTGCAACGCGGGGCACGGGCGCGAGGAAATCGCGGAAGCGGTATACCGGCAGCTCCAGAAGCTGGACTATGCGCCGTCGTTCCAGCTCGGCCATCCCATCGCCTTCGAGTTCGCCGAGCGGCTGACCGATCTCGCGCCGGAGGGCTACAACCACGTCTTCTTCACCGGTTCGGGGTCCGAGTCCGCCGACACCGCGATGAAGATCGCGCTCGCCTACCACCGGGCTCGCGGGGAGGGGACCCGCACCCGCTTCATCGGCCGTGAGCGCGGGTACCATGGCGTCGGGTTCGGCGGCATGTCTGTCGGCGGCATCATGGGCAATCGCCGCCAGTTCGGCGCGATGCTGCCCGGCGTCGATCACATGCGCCACACACATGACCTGGAGCGCAACGCCTGGAGCGTCGGCGAGCCGGAACACGGCGCGGAACTGGCCGATGATCTCGAGCGGCTGGTCGGCCTTCATGGCGCCGACACGATCGCGGCGGTGATCGTGGAACCCGTCGCGGGGTCCACGGGCGTTCTGGTGCCGCCGAAGGGCTACCTCAAGCGCCTGCGGGAGATCTGCGACCGGCACGGCATCCTCATGATCTACGATGAGGTCATCACGGGATTCGGCCGTCTCGGCACGCCGTTCGCGGTCGACCGGTTCGGCGTCGAGCCGGACATCTTCACGACCGCCAAGGCGCTGACCAACGGTGTGCTGCCGATGGGCGCGGTCTTCACCAAGGACCACGTGCACGACGCGCTCATGCAGGGCGACGAGGCCGCGATCGAGCTCTTCCACGGCTACACCTATTCGGGGCATCCGGTCGCGTGCGCGGCCGGCCTTGCCACGCTGGACATCTACGCCAACGAGGGGCTCCTGACCCGCGCGACGGAGCTCGAGACCCTGTGGAGCGACACGATGCACGCGCTTCGCGGAGAGCCGCATGTGATCGACGTGCGCACCATCGGCCTGGTCGCGGGCATCGAGCTGGCTCCGCGGGCCGGTCAGGTCGGCGCGCGTGGCTACGAGGTCTTCACGCGCTGCTTCGAGGAGGGCGTCCTGATCCGAGTGACCGGCGACATCATCGCGCTGTCGCCGCCGCTGATCGTGGAGCCGGGCGAAGTCGCACGCATGGCGGAATGTGTCCGCGATGCCCTGAAGGTCTGCGAATGATCGTCTGATCGCCGCACCGCAGCGATTGCCGCGCCCGGAGGCTCAGCCTCCGGGCGCTTTTGACTCTGACAACAAATCGCAATGACGGGGCTTTAGACTCTTGCGTCGAATCAACGGGTTGCTGACGAAGGACATGCAGCCCGTCACGGGTAAGAAAGGACGATGCGGTGAACGATGGTGCAACGGGCGAGGGACTGGTGGCCGGCATTGACGAGGCGACCGGGGCGGCGCTGATCGAGATCGTTCGGGCTGCGGCGGCGCGGGAGATCCTTCCCCGCTTTCGGAACCTGGCGGAAGACGAGATCGACACCAAGGCCGGGCCGGATGATCTCGTGACCATCGCCGATCGCGCGGCGGAAGCGGCAATCACCATCGCCGCGCGCGATCTTCTTCCCGATGCGCTCGTGATCGGGGAGGAGGCGGTCTCCGAGACGCCCGATCTTCTTGCTCTGATGGAAGATGCGAAGACCTGTGTGGTCATCGACCCCGTCGACGGAACCAGCAATTTCGCGTCGGGTATCGCGGCCTTCGGCGTCATCCTGAGTGTTGTCGAGCGTGGGCAGCCGGTGTTCGGCCTGCTGTATGATCCGGTCCTCGATGACTGGATCGTCGCGCACAAGGGGCAGGGAGCCTGGTTCTCGGCGCCGGGCCATACGCCTCGCCGTCTCACGACCCGGCCTCGTCCGCCCGCAGGCCGGCTACAGGGATTCGTTCCGGTCGACCTGTTCGAGCCGATGGACCGGGCGCCGGTGATGGCGCGCTTCGCTCCGCTCGGGCCGACCCGGGCCCTGCGCTGCTCCTGCCACGAGTATCGCACCATCGCCTTCGGTCACGCCGACTACGCGGTTTCTCCGGAACCCAAGCCGTGGGACCACGCCGCCGGTGCGTTGATCGTCGCCGAGGCGGGCGGGCACGCAACGGTTGCAGGAACCGCTCCCTATCTGCCGGCACGCAGCGATGGTCCGCTCATCATCGCATCGAGCAGGGACGTCGCGCTCGATGTCGCGCGAATGGCTTCAAACAAGGGCTGACGTCGGGTCCGCTCCGGTGTCGCGGTGGATGTTCAGCGCTGATGCGGGCGATGTTGACGCGTCGCCTTGCCCGGCGTGTCTCAATTTGGTCGCGACTTGTGATTGACAAGCCGGAACGGCCGGGGCCATGTTGTCGCGTCAACGGTTCTCGGGGTCAGGTCTGGCCCTGGGATTAAAAGGGAACACGGTGAGGCGTACCCAACAGGGACCGAAACCGTGGCTGCCCCCGCAACTGTGAGCGGAGAGCCGGAACCGACGATGCCACTGGCGCGATGCCCCGGGAAGGCCGGTTCAGGTGATGACCCGCAAGCCAGGAGACCTGCCGCTGATGTCACGATCTGCCTTGCGCAGCCTCGTGACCACCGCAACCGGACGCCGGGGTGAGCGTCACGCGGGTGAGCGACAGGTGAATTCCGTCTCCGCTTTCCGCATCCTTCCCCGATCGTCCTTTCAGTCGACCGTGCCGGCTTGTTCAAGCCGGCGGCCCATTGAGAGGGACGCTACATGAATTTCTCGAACCTCGGACTCGGTGCGCTTTGCGCCGCATCTCTTCTCGCTCCGCTTGCCGCGCAGGCGCATTTCCAGCTCGCCTATACGCCCGAGGTGAACCTGCAAAAGGCAGGTGACGTGCCAGTCAAGCTCATCTTCTGGCATCCCTTCGAGAACGGCCATGTCATGGACATGGGCGACCCGATCCAGTTCTACGCCGTCCATCGCGGCGAGAAGATCGATCTCAAGGGATCCCTGAAGCCGATCACCTTCGCGGGAACGGAGAACGAGGCCGCGGCCTTCGACGCGACGCTGCCGGTGAAACGCAGCGGCGACTACGTGCTCGTCGTGGAGCCCGCTCCCTACTACGAGGAAAGCGAGGACATCTTCATCCAGCAGATCACGAAGTCCTACGTGAACCGCAACGAGATGCCGACCGACTGGATGGAGCCGCAGGGACTTGTCACGGAGATCCTGCCGCTGAATCGGCCGACCAACATCGTTGCCGGCTCGACGTTCTCCGGGCGTGTCCTGTCCGAGGGCAAGCCGGTCCCCGGTGCCGAGATCGAGATCGAGTACATGGCGGCCGAGCCCGACATGAACGCAAACACGCCGGTGGCGCCGAAGGCATCCCCGATGCCGGGCGGTGCGGTGGTCGCGATCTCGGACGAGAACGGGTACTTCACCTTCGGCATTCCCAAGGCGGGATTCTGGGGGTTCGCGGCGCTTGGTTCCGGTCCCGTGAAGGAGCATGAGGGCAAGGAACTCAGTCAGGACGCGGTTATCTGGGTCCGCGCCTACGACGTCGAGTAAGGGGCAGGCCCGGGTCGGAGGAGGCGTGCATGCATATCGTCGACGGTGCACTGTCGCATGGTGTGGTGGTTGCCGGGGCCGTGCTGGCCGCCGGCGGCATCGCGATGGGCTTGCGCAAGCTCCCCATGGAGAAAATCCCCGCGGCCGGAGTGCTCAGTGCCTCGTTCTTCGTGGCATCCCTGATCCATGTGCCCATCGGGCCCTCGAGCGTCCATCTGATCCTGAACGGTCTGGCCGGGCTTGTGCTCGGCTGGGCCGCCTTTCCGGCGCTTTTCGTCGGATTGCTTCTGCAGACGATCTTCTTCGGCTTCGGCGGCCTTACCGTTCTGGGCGTCAACACGGTGAACATCGCGCTGCCGGCGGTGGCGGTCTACTACCTGTGCCGGTCGGGGCTGGCCGCGAGATCAGCGGTTGTCGCTGCGGTCGTGGGCGGAATTGGCGGTGCGCTCTCGATCGTCTTCACGACGCTCCTTGTCGGTCTTTCGCTTGCCATGAGCGGTGAGGAGTTCGTGCCCGCCGCCAAGCTCGTGTTCTTCGCGCACATTCCGGTCATGGCAATCGAGGGCATCCTCACCGGCTTCGCCGTCTACCTGGCGCGCAAGGTCAAGCCGGAGCTTTTCATCGGACTGCAGGCATCTTCGGAGAGCGTCGCATGAGACAGGTGACAGTGTCCGTCATCGTCGGACTGGTTTTCGCACTGGCCTCCTTCCAGTCGGCCTTTGCCCACAAGGTCATTGCCTCGGTCTTTGCAAGCGGCAGCATGATCGAGGGGGAAGTCGGCTTCTCGAACGGTGACATGGCCGCAAACACGCTGGTCGAGGTGTTCGACGAGGACGGCGCCAAGCTCGGCGAGGCAACGACCGACGAGGACGGCTTCTTCTCGTTCACGCCGACCAGCCGGGTCGTGCATGTGTTCAGGGCGAACCTGGGAGCAGGGCACGTCGCCGAGGTTCGTATGGGGCTGGAGGAACTGCCCCGGATCGCAGGAGCCGGGTCGGCCACGGCCCCCGGCGTGTCCGGTGATGCGGCGAAGAGCCCGGGAGCCGGAAGCGTATCCGTTGCGGCGAACACGAATAGTGACGCGCCCGATGCGGCGCTTCTGGCTGAAAACCGGGAGCTCCTTCGCGAGATGATCCACAGGGAGGTCACGCCCTTGCGCCGCGAGATCGCCGCCTACAAGGAGAAGAACGACCTGCAGACGATCCTTGGCGGGATGGGCTATATCGCCGGTCTGTTCGGCTTGTTCTTCTATGTCGCCGCGCGGCGCAAGATGGCCGGAACCTGACCGATGGGACACCTCGTCTCGTCGGGTCCGAAGGTTCTGATCGGTGCGGACGGCGCACGTACCGAAAACTTTCTGGACGGTCTCGACCCAAGAAGCCGGATTCTGGCCGCCTTGTTCTTCGCAATCCTTGTCGTCAGCCTCAAGAGCCTGGCCGTGCTGGCGCTCGGCTTCGGCGTTTCGCTGGCCATGCTGCTTGCCACCCGTCTGCCGCTGAAGGGAACGCTGCGGCGCATGGCGGCGATGGACGGCTTTATCATCTTCATGCTCGTGCTGCTGCCGTTCACGGTTCCGGGCACGCCGCTCTTCTTCGTATTCGGCTTTCCGTTCTCGCTCGAGGGCGCGCTGAAGGCAGCGGAGATCGCGCTCAAGGCCAATGCGGTCATCCTGATGCTCATGGTGCTCGTGGGAACGCTGGAGCCGGTGACGCTCGGACACGCGCTGCACAGGCTCAGGACACCCGAGACACTCGTGCATCTTTTGATGTTCACCGTGCGCTACATCTCCGTGCTTCATCAGGAGTACCAGAGGCTGCGGGGTGCGATGAAGGTGCGCTCGTTCCGCCTTCGCAACTCGCTTCATACCTACAAGTCCATCGGATACCTCGTCGGAATGATGCTCGTGCGGTCCGTCGATCGCTCCGAAAGGATCCTCGCGGCTATGAAATGCCGAGGGTTCACGGGCGCCATTCCGCTTCTCGATGCGATGCGTTTCTCGAAGCGCGATGCCGTTTTCGCGGCTTTGGTGTCTGTCGTTGGCGGCACGCTGCTTATCCTGGAGTGGGGCAATGGCACCGCTTATTGAACTGGATGGTCTCCATTTCGGCTATCACGGCCATGCGCCCGTATTGAGAGGGGCCTCGCTCACCCTGCACACGGGCGAGCGCCTGGCGATCAGCGGTCACAATGGCGCGGGCAAGAGCACGCTGCTGCGGATGATCGTCGGGCTGCTGAAGCCGTCCCGGGGCATGGTGCGCGCCTTCGGGCGCGAGTGTCGGGAGGAGGCCGACTTTCACGACGTCCGGCGACGGGCCGGCTTCGTGTTCCAGGATCCCGACGACCAGCTTTTCTGTCCGACCGTGGCGGAGGATGTGGCCTTCGGCCCGCTCAACCTCGGCAAGAGCCGGGCGGAAGCGTCGCGGATCGTCGACGAGGTGCTCGAGCAGCTCGACCTGACGTTTCTGCGGGACCGGATCACGTACAAGCTTTCAGGCGGAGAGAAGCGGCTCGTCAGCCTCGCGACGGTGCTTGCCATGGAGCCGGATGTCCTGCTTCTCGACGAGCCGACGAATGCGCTCGACGAGAAGAACGAGGCGCGGCTTATCGAGATTCTTCTCGGACTGCCCCAGGCGATGATCATCGTCTCCCACGACGCGGATTTCCGCGCCCGGCTCGCGACCCGTGCGCTGCGCCTGGAACACGGAGGCCTTGTCGCAAGGGCACCGGGGGTGGCCTCGTAGACGAGGCATGTCGTTGCGGTTTTGGCGGAAGGAGCGCCGGAAATGCGTGGAATATTCGTGCTTGCATATCCCCTCCCAGGGGATAGGATGTAGGCATGAAGCACGAAACGCACGGTGATGTGGTCAAACGCCTGAAACGGGCATCCGGCCACTTGCAGAAAACGATCTCGATGATCGAGGACGGGCGGTCCTGCGTTGATGTCGCCCAGCAGCTCCATGCCGTAAGCAAGGCGATCGAGCAGGCGAAGCGCGTGTTCATCCACGATCACATCGACCACTGTCTCGAGGGCAGCGCCAACGAACCGAGGGATCAGGCCGCTCTCGTCGCCGAGTTTCGCGAGATCTCGAAGTATCTTTGAGAGGCGTGTGCGATGGATATCAACGCTGCCGTCGCAGCGGGGGCGGAGAATCCGCTGCTGCTGTTTGCAATGGCGCTGGTGCTGGGAGCCCTGCACGGGCTTGAGCCCGGGCACAGCAAGACCATGATGGCGGCCTATATCATCGCCATCCGCGGCACCGCGTTTCAGGCGTTGTTGCTTGGCCTTTCGGCGGCGGCCTCGCATGTCGTCATCGTCTGGCTTCTTGCAATCCTCGGACTCCGCTATGGCAACGAACTGATCGGGGACGATCTCGAGCCGGTTCTCATGGCGGTCTCCGGCGTCATCATCGTGGGCGTGGGCCTCTGGGTCTTGCGGCAGGCCCTTGGGGAGCGGAGAGGGCGCCGCCACGACCTCTCACATGAGCCCGTTCACAGGCACCATGCCGTTGCGGCCGGAGTGTCCGCGCATCATGCGGCCCCTCATCGGCATGATCATTTTCACGCTCATGCCCATGGGGGGAGCACCGGTTACCGGCATCCCCGCGACATCGCGCAGGCGGATGCTCACACGATGGCACATGCTCGCCAGATCGAGGCCCGGGTGCAGGATGGCCGGACATCGACGTTGCAGACCATCCTGCTCGGCCTTTCCGGCGGGTTGATCCCCTGTCCCGCCGCGATCACGGTGCTTCTGCTGTGCCTTCAGCTCAAGAAGATGGCCCTTGGCCTCACGCTGGTTGCCGCATTCAGTGTTGGCCTGGCGGTGACGCTCGTTGCCGTCGGCATCACGGCGGCCGTGGGAGTTCGTTATGCAGCCCACCGGACGCCATGGCTCGACAGGCTCTTGCAGAAGGCCCCTTTCGCGTCCGCCGTCCTCATCTGTCTGCTCGGCATCGTGATGATCGTCTCCGCGATCGGCCATGGTCATCCCTGATGCCGTGAGGGACGGGCACCCTTGGCCGGCCCTCTGGACCGCCGGTCAGGCAGCCTTGCCGGAGCGATATCCTTCCTCGCCCATGATCTGTCTTGCGAGTGCCTGAACCGCCCGCGAGCTTGCATTCCTGCCGACACGTACGACGGTTGCGACGTGGGGCGGAGGCGCGAAGCCGTCTGCAATGGCCTCGATTTCAGGGCCCACATGATCCGCGCTGATCAACGTGACGCCCAAGCCGGATTTCAGGGCGGACAGTATGCCGGCAAGGCTTGCGCATCTCATGACGGTCGAAAAGCCATGCGGAGGCAGCGGAAACGCTTCCATGGCCCAGCGGCGATAGAAGCAGGTGTCATCGAAGGCGAGGAACGGGATCGGCCGTTGCCAGTCGAGCTCCAGGTCGCGGGACTTCGCCCAGACCAGTTCGCTCTCGGAGAGGAGAAGGTCGTCGTGGCGCTTCCGGTCCCGGAAAGTCTGGAAGATGCCGATATCGATCTCGCCCCGGTCAAGCTGGGTGGCAATCGTCAGGCTCTGGGCGACGTCGGTAAGGACCGTGACGTCGGGCTGCAATCGCGTGAAGTGTCCGAGGACGCGGGCCAATGCGCCATGCGTTGCCTGTTCGGTGATGCCAAGGCGGATCAGGCCACTCAGCGGATCGGTGCTCAGGCTTGCGACGGCCTCATTGTTGATCGCCAGAATGCGACGGGCGTAGTGGAGAAGGCGCTCTCCCTCCGGCGTGAAGACCGATTGTCCTGGCCGACGGTTGAGAAGCGTGCAGCCAAGTCCTTCCTCAAGGCGCCGGATCTTGTGGGACACGGCCGACTGGGAGAGACCCAGATGGTGTGCCGCCCGCGTCACGCCGCCGTGGTCCCTGATCGCGCAGAGCGCCTGAAGTGCGCCGATGTCGAGTTTCGGAGTCATGTCGTGAGCATGACAGATATCGCTGAAAACAGGAAATCAATTCATTTTTGTCAATCTTATGCGTGACCTAGATTGCGCTCGGCAACCGCAACTGGAGACCGAGATGAGCCATATTCTGGGAAATCATGCCGTAATTGATGGAAGCAGGCTGGCCTATGGGGTTCATGGGGAAGGCGAACCGGTGGTGCTCTTGCACGGGACGCCGTCTTCCTCCCTGATCTGGCGTAACGTCGTGCCACGTCTCGTGGCGGCCGGATACAAGGTGCACGTCTACGACCTCCTGGGGTATGGCCGGTCCGAGCGCCCCGTGGACCCGTCCGTGGATACCTCAGTCAGCGCGCAGGTTCCGCTGCTGGAAAAGCTTCTGGCGCATTGGGACCTGGATACGGTGCATCTCGTCGGCCATGATTTCGGCGGCGGGATCGCGCAACGTTTCGGTGTTTTCCATCCTGACCGGCTGCGTTCGCTCACGCTCATGGATGCGGTCTGTTTCGACAGTTCCCCCTCCAGGCAGGCCCAGGAGCAACTGGCCGGGGGGCTTGAGGCCTTGATCAAGGCGCCCGACGACGAGCATCGTGCCCATTTCCGCCAGTGGCTGCTGTCGGCGGTTTGGGACAAGGATGCCTTTGCCGCAGGGCCGCTCGAGACCTACGTCGACATGATTTCGGGGCCGATCGGTCAGGGTAGCTACTTTCAGCATCAGGCGCGCCACTATCAGGCGAAGCACACGATGGAGGTGGCGGACCGCTTGCCTGAACTCGGAAGGCTGCCGGTGAAGATTATCTGGGGCGCGGATGATGCCTGGCAGTCCGTCACGTGGGCGGAGCGCCTGCACCGCACGATCCCGGGTTCCGAGCTGAGTGTGCTTGAAAATACCGGGCACTTCGCGCCCGAGGACCGGCCCGAGGAGATCGCCGACCTCCTGATCGCCTTCCTTGCCAAGGCGTCCCGGCAGGGGCGTGCGGCGTGACGGCCTTTGCCTCGGCAACTCGTGGAGCGCGGTGAGGGAGACGGCTTCACAGCCGTCAGTCGCACCGGGCGGCGGGCATCGGGAGGAGAGGGGGCTCCCTCCCGTGCTTTTCGCTGCCCGGTCTCTTGCGTTTGCCAACTATACGGCCAGGGTTTGCACGCCAGGCATGGGGCCGACATAGCGTGATTGCGGCCGGATCAACCGGCCCAGTTTTTCCTGCTCCAGGACATGGGCTGTCCACCCGGCCATACGGCCGATTGCGAAGATGTTGGTGAAACTGTCGCGCGGGATGCCGAGCGCCTCGAGAACCAGCGCGGTGTAGAACTCGACATTGGTTTCCAGAGGGCGCAGCGGCTTCTTGCGGGCAAGCTGCGCCAGGGCTTCGGCCTCGACCGCCTCGGCAAAGGCGATGCGCGTGCCGCCATCGCGCAGCGTCCCGACGACGCCTTTCAGAACATCGGCACGTGGATCGCGGACGCGATAGATGCGGTGCCCGAAGCCCATCAGACGCTCGCCATTCGCCAGAGCTGCCTCGATCCACGGGCGAATGCAGGCCTCGTCCCCAATAGCATCCAGCATGTCGAGAACCGGACCGGGAGCGCCGCCGTGCAGGGGGCCCTTCAAGGCGCAGAGGCCGCCGACGACAGCCGAAAGCAGCCCGGCCTGCGTGGAAGAGATGACCCGCGCGGCGAAGGTGGATGCGTTCAGTCCGTGATCCGCGACGGTGACCAGATAGGCGTTCAGGGCCCGGACATGGTCGGGAGCCGGCGTCTTGCCATGCAACATGCGCAGAAAATCATGGGCGTGACCGAGTGAAGCGTCCGGTTCCAGTGGAGCCTTGCCGGCCCGGCGCCGCGCAATGGCGGCCGCAAAGACCGGCGTCGCGGCTACGGCCAGGACATGATGCGGTGTGTCCTCGGCATCCGCCAGGGACGACAACAGCAGCCGCAGTGCCTCGACCGGAGAGAGTGTGTCGGTCGCCGGAAGCAGTGCTTCCGTCCTGGCAAAGACGGTGCGCCGTGCGGCGCCGAGTGCTTTCCGGATGTCGCCCCCGGTCGTCGGGGCGGGGGCGAGGTCTTCCCAGAGCAGGCCGAGAACGGCCTCGAAGCTCCAGTCCGCAAGGTCGGCGAGATCATGGCCACGCAGGACCAGCCGGCCGGCCGCACCATCGACAAGACACAGCCTTGTCTCGGCAGCGACCACATTATCAAGGCCCGGCTCGATGGGCGTCAGGTCGTTGATCATCTGTTTCTCCTGTTTGACAGGCGGCAGGATGATGACGCATTTTATATTGATCAATCTTGATTCATAAAATCAATGTAAGAAGATGGCTGAAACAGACACCCTCCTCAGCGCCGAAGAGGCGGCAGAACGGCTCGGCATCAGCCGCGCGACGCTCTACTCCTACGTGAGCCGAGGACTTATCAGGGCGGTCGAAGGCGTGGATGATCCGCGTCGACGCCTCTATGACGCGCATGACGTCGACCGGATGCGGCATCGCAAGAGTGTTGGTCGGCGACCGCGCGACGTCGCGGCTACGACACTCGACTGGGGCTTCCCTGTCCTGTCCTCGGGCATCTCCCTGATTGATCACGGACGTCTTCACTATCGGGGACGGGAGGCGGTGAAATGGGCCGGGCACGCGTCGCTCGAGGAGACGGCGCGGCTGTTGTGGTCGTGCGGTGAGGCCGATCCCTTTGATGGGGGAGGGCGCGTGGGTCCATGCTGGGACAGCGGGCTTCTGGAGCAGGCGGCGCAGTTGCCCCTGACGGAGCGCTGCCAGATCCTGTTGCCTTTCGTTTCGGTAGGGCGGGCAACCGCGTGGCAACGTGGCAACCGGACACTCTGGTCCGGTGGCGCGGCCCTGTTGCGCGCTATCGCCGGGGCGGCCGTCGGAGCGATGCCGGATGACCGTCCCGTTCATGAGCATCTTGCGGCGGTCTGGGGGCTCGACGTTGCCGCGACGGATGTGGTCCGGCGCGCGCTCGTGCTGTTGGCGGATCACGAACTGAATGCCTCGGCGTTTGCCGTACGCGTGGTGGCGTCGACCGGCGCTTCGCTCGGCGCCTGCCTGAATGCGGGTCTTTCGGCGCTCAGCGGTCCCCTGCACGGTGGAACGACCAGCCTTGCGGTGCGGTTGCTCGAGGAGTGTGACGGTGACGCGGAAGCGGTCGTCGAGTCGCGTCTGCGCCGGGGCGAGAGGGTGCCCGGGTTCGGTCATCCGCTTTATCCGGAAGGCGACCCGAGAGCCGCGGCCTTGCTTCCGCTGTTGCCGGCGAATGCCGACCAGGCGGCGCTGATCGACGTGATGGCGGAGGCCACCGGCAAACCGCCGAACGTCGACTTCGCACTTGCCTCGATCTGCCGGGCATTCGACTTGCCGCCGGAAAGCGGACACGTCCTGTTCGCGGTGGGCAGGACGGTCGGGTGGATCGCCCACGCCCTGGAACAATATGGAGAAGGCAAGCTCATCCGGCCGCGCGCCCGATATAGCGGGCCGCCGCCGGAAGCATGAGCCTCATGACCGGCCAGTCCCGTTTCTGCTCGTTTCCAGCTGCCCAGACCGAATGAAAGGGCCGTATCTCGGGGGCGCGGAGGTGGTTTCCGGAAAGCGCAGCCTTCCTCTCCACCACCGGGCAGGCGTGCAGTTACTCGGGGCCGAGGTTCAACAGCGCGCGACGGAATTCCGGCTCGCTGAGGACCACTTCCCCAGCCCCGAGTGCCTGTGCGCGGCCGAGCGCGCGGGCGGTAAGCATCTGAGCCATTTCGACCGCATGCGGCAGGTCGTGACCGCTCCCCAGACCGGCCACGACCAGTCCGGAGAACAGGTCGCCCGTACTGGGCAGGGCGATCGGCAGGTGCTCGGTCGGATGCCGGCTGATGCCGTCGGGACCGAGAATGATACTCTCGAGCCAACCTTCGGAGGTATCGTCCAACGTGCATCCGGTAACGATCAGGTGGCCGGTCTGGGAGATCCGCAGCGCTTCTTTCGCCGCCTGGAGGTCGGGGAGGGTGCTGATCCCCCGATCCGTGAGCCAGGACAGTTCGAACGGGTTCGGCGTGGCGAGGTCCGCCAGCGGCAGCAGCCGGTCGCGCATGGTGTCCGCAATGGCCTCTGGCACGTAGAGGCCGGGCCCGTCGTCGCCCATCACCGGATCGCAGAGATAGGTCAGCCGCGGGTTGAGAGCTTTCGCCTCGGCCACGAAGTCGGCGACCATCTCGGCCACCTCCGGCGAGCCGATATAGCCAGAGACGATAAACCGCGCCCGCTCCGCCAGTCCCCGTTCGCGAGCGCCCTGCAGCAGGTCGGAGAAGAACTCCGGCGGCAGCGGACGGCCACGCAGGGTGGGGTAATCGGGGGTGTTGGAGAAGATCACGGTCGGGATCGCCGCGACTTCCAGCCCCGCTGCCTGCATCGGGAAAAGCGCGGCCGAGTTGCCCACGTGGCCGAAGACCACCTGGCTCTGGATCGAGATCACGAAGGGAGGATGAGGCATCTGATGGTGTCCGGTTCGGGGGCTTGCGCGTGCCGACAGGCGAGCTCTTGCCGGGCGATGACGTTTGTCTCCCGGCGGCGTGGGCGAGGCGAACGATCGTGGTTATTCGGCAGGGGGCGGGCAGGCGGGTTCAGGAGGTGGGGCCAAGACTGTTGATATAACCTGCTATCAGGTCGCGGGAGCGCCCGATGTCCTCAAGCTTTCTGTCGAGCTTTTCAAGCTCGCCGGACAATCGCGCACGCAGGTTCTCGCAAGGATCGAAGCGGGGTTCGGGGCTGATGATACAGGGAAGCAGGTCGCGCATGGCGTCGATGGTCAGGCCGGCATCGGCCAGTTGCCGGATCCGGCAAGCCTCCTCGAGATCCGCGTCCGAATAGTCGCGATAGCCGCTGTTTCGCCGGTGCGGTGTGAGAAGGCCCTCGGCCTCGTAGTACCGCAACATCCGCACGCTCACGCCGCTGCGCTCGGAAATCTCGCCGATCTGCATTTCCGGTTCCGTTCCCCCTTGACCCTGACAGCGTTGTGAGGGTGCAGGAGATTGCATGACGGATCAAGACGGAGACCGGAACAATGTCGAAAACCGAGTATGTTCAGTTGGGTGATGCGCAGGTCGGATATCGCGACAGTGGCGGGGGAGCACCGCTTGTATTGGTGCACGGCACCGGCGGTGATGGCGAGGCAAACTGGGGCGAGGTCATTCGTCACTTGCCGGGACGGCGCATTTTGCGCCCCGATTATGCAGGCTCGGGGCTTACAACAGACCTGTCCGGGCGGCTGACACTGGATCGTCTGGCGGGACAGGTCCTGGCCACGGCCGATCACGCCGGTGTGGAGACTTTCGACCTCGTCGGCTTCTCTCTGGGGGCGGCTGTCGCCGTGCGTTTGGCCTCGCGGCATCCCGACCGTGTGCGACACCTGGTCAGTCTGGGCGCCTTTGTCACCGGGATGGACTCGCGGTCGCGCCTGCAGTTCGATCACTGGATCGACCTGGTGGCGCGGGATCGCGAGGCATTGGCTCGCCTGATCCTTCTGACGGGATTCAGTGCGGATTTTGTTGCGACAATGGGAGATCTGGAAGCCGTGGTGGAGCAGATGGTCGCTTCCACGAACTGGGATGGGATGGCGCGTCAGGCGGTTCTCGACAGGGAGATCGACATTTCGGCGGATCTTGCCGACGTGCGGGCGCCAACGCTGGTGCTCGGCAATCGCCATGACCAGATGGTTCTTCCCTCCGCGTCCATCGCCCTTGCAAATGGCGTCGCCGGCTCACGGCTGGGCTGGATCGAGGGGCCGCATCTTTCGCCGATGGAATGTCCGGTCGAGGTTGCCTCAGCGATACGGACCTTCCTCGAGGAAGCGAAGTGATACCTCGCCTGTCGCCGGAGTGTGGTTCACGAGGCCGGAACAATAACCGCTTGACTTGGAGCGCACTCGAACCCCTAGCCTCGATTGCGTCTTGATGAGAGGCAGGTGCCATGAAAATCGGTGAACTCGCGAAACGCAGTGGTCTCACGGCCCACACCATTCGCTACTACGAACGGATCGGGCTGTTGCCCTTTGCGGATCGCGATGCCGGCGGACGACGCGACTACGACGCGTCGATCCTCGTCTGGATCGACTTCCTCGACCGGTTGAAGACCACCGGCATGCCCATCCGCGAGATGCTGCGCTACGCGGCATTGCGTGAGGAGGGTGAACACACCGGGCCGGAGCGGCGGCGCATCCTGGAAGCGCATCGCGAACAGGTGCGGGCGCACATGGCCGATTTGCAGGCCTGCCTTCTCGTTCTCGACACCAAGATCGACACGTATGTCGAGGCGGAGAAAGGGACGCATTTCCATGACGATACAAAACACTCCCTCGCAGGAAAGCAGGTTGGAGCGCGGGCAGCGCGCTCTTGAGGCCATAGACGGCAAGGCAGGCCGGAACGTGATCGAGGCGCTGGCCGACATCGCGCCGGATTTCGCCACCTATCTGTTCGAGTTCCCCTTCGGTGATATCTACTCGCGCCCGGGCCTGTCGTTGCGCGACCGCGAGATCGCCACGATTGCCGCGCTGGCGGCAATGGGGACGGCACCTCCCCAGCTCAAGGTGCATATCGAGGCCGGATTGAATGTCGGCCTGAGCCGGGAGGAAATCACCGAGATCCTGATGCAGATGGCGGTCTACGCCGGCTTTCCCGCCGCGCTGAACGGGCTCTTCGCGGCGAAAGAGGTCTATGCACTGAGGGAAGGTGGGGAGGAAGGGGCTTCAGTCTGAGCTTGCGCGTGATCGCCGCCCCGCAAGGGGCGGCCGTCCGCACTCCTCTGGCAAGGGGGCGACATGCCGAAGGGCAGATGCCACGAGCCCTGCGCACATGCTCCCAAAACGTCTTGTCATGCAGAAGTAATTGTAGGCACCCGGGGGTCGACACACTGTCTGAGCGGAGCGGTGCCGCAAATCAAAGCCCCGGGGAATTGGTGCCGGCCGCCGGTTGCTGAATGTATTGGCTGTGGTTCGGGTGACGTGTATAGGTTCGCCAGGCTTCAGCCTCGGTTCGCGGAGCGAAGTACGTTCGCTGCGACGATGCAGTTTGATGAAAAGCAAGATGAAGAAATATCAGTCATACAAGATCTCCGTGGCGCCCATGATGGAGTGGACGGACCGCTTTTGCCGTGCCTTCCACCGGCAATTGAGCGGCAATGCGCTGCTCTATACGGAGATGGTCGCGGGCGCTGCCGTGATCCATGGAGACCGTCAACGGCTGCTCGGTTTCCGCGATCTTGAGCACCCCGTCGCCTGCCAGCTAGGCGGTTCCGACCCGAAGGAGCTGGCTGAGGCGGCGCGCATCGTGGCGGATTTCGGCTATGACGAAATCAACCTGAATGTCGGCTGCCCTTCCGATCGTGTGCAATCGGGGCGGTTCGGCGCATGCCTCATGCGCGAGCCTGACCTCGTGGGCGAATGCGTTTCGGCCATGAAGGCTGTCGTTTCGGTCCCTGTCACCGTGAAGTGTCGTATCGGTGTCGACGATCAGGATCCGGAACCGGCGCTCGACGCGATGGCTGACCGGGTGGTCGAGGCCGGCGTCGATGCGCTTTGGGTCCATGCACGCAAGGCGTGGCTGAAAGGGTTGTCGCCGAAGGAAAACCGGGACATCCCACCGCTCGACCATGACCGGGTCTATCGGCTCAAGCAGCGTCTGCCGGGCCTTTACATCGGAATCAACGGCGGGATCGCCGATCTGGACGAGGCTGAAGCGCATCTTGCCCATGTCGACGGAGTGATGCTCGGGCGTGCCGCCTATCATGATCCCTGGGTCCTGGCGCGAGTCGACAGCCGGTTTCACGGCGAAGAAGACCCCGTTTTAGACAGGGACGAGGCAATCGAGCGGTTTCGTCCCATTGTCGAGGAGGAACTCGCGAAGGGCGCCCGCGCAAATCAGCTCATGCGCCACATGCTTGGCCTCTATCACGGCGTGCCGGGCGCACGCGCGTGGCGCCGACGGCTGACCGTCGATGCCGTCAGACCGGGTGCCGGGATCGAGGTGCTCGATGCGGCGATTGCCGAGATCGGACGGGGCGGGCTGGACAAAAGCGGCGAGGCGGGGCAGTTAGACCACACTAGGGCCGTCGCGCGGTAGCTCGCCGCCCGCGTCCTCCGGCACCTCTTTTCCCCATCCCTTGGCGAGCCATCCTCGGGGGCATTCATGGATTTGTCGTCTATCAACGGCGAGGTCATCGGCCTTGCTTTCGCGCTGCTGGCGTCGGGCGCCGTTGCCGGCCTTCTGGCCGGTGTCTTCGGCATTGGCGGCGGGGCGGTTCTGGTGCCCGTCCTGTTCCAGTTCCTGACCTGGCTGGGCGTCGACGAGTCCGTGCGCATGCATGTGTCGGTGGCGACATCGCTCGGCATTATCGTTCCCACGTCGATCCGCTCCTTCCTCGCGCACAAGAAGCGTGGTGCCGCGGATCTCGAGCTCCTGAAGAGCTGGATCATTCCCGTGCCGGCCGGTGCCATTGTCGCGAGCTTTGTCGCCGCCTATGTTTCCGGCGACGAACTCAAGGCCATCTTTGCTGGCATTGCGGTCGCGGTCGGTCTCAGAATGCTCCTGAACCGGGAGAGCTGGCGGTTGGGCTCCGACATCCCCGGAAATCCCGTGCGTGCGATCTGCGGCATGCTGATCGGATTTTTCTCGACCCTGATGGGCATCGGCGGTGGCGTCATGAACAACACGTTCATGACCCTGTTCGGCCGGCCGATCCATCAGGCCGTGGCAACCTCGTCGGGCACCGGCGTTCTGATCTCCATTCCCGGTGTGATCGGTCTCGTGTGGGCCGGCTGGGGACACCCGGACCTGCCTGCGTTCTCGCTCGGCTACGTGAACCTGCTCGGTGTCGCGCTGATCATTCCGATCACGACGTTTGCGGCGCCCTTCGGCGTCAAGATCGCCCATGCGCTGCCCAAGCGCGCGCTGGAGATCTTCTTCGGCCTGTTCCTGCTGAGTGTTGCGGCACGTTTCGCCTGGAGCCTGTGGGCCGGCTGAGGTCCCCTTCAGGACATACATGCAAAGTCAGCCCCGGCCAGAAATTGGCCGGGGCTTCTCGTATCCAATGCGCGTATCAGGGCTCGAGGATCAAACGATCCCCCTCGACACGCCAGCTTTTCAGCCGGTCCATGACGGACATGCCGAGAAGACTGGTTTCCAGGGCGCCGGGTCTGGCGACGAACGCGCGGATATTGTCCAGGCGCAGACTGTCTATGGAGAGATCGTTCACTCGGATTGCCGCCACCTGGCTGCGACCGTTCGCCGTGGAAACGGGGATCGTGTAGGAAAGCCGTCCGGTGTCGATGCCTGCGGCGCTCGCATCCTCGTTCCTGAGCGTCAGGGCAGAGGCTCCGGTGTCGAACAGAAACTCCACGGGAGCTCCGTTGACGGCACCTTGGATGCGGTAGTGGTTGCTCCTGTCGCGCATCACCGTGATCGTCCCGGACACGGGATCCGTGATCGCATATCCCGGCATCAGTGTTCCGACAATACGCCGGCCGACCCCTTCAAGCTCGTGGCGGTAGGCGTAGCCGCCAACGAGAACCGCGCCGATCAAAAGCCAGGAAAACACCGAACGGACGACGGTCGGCAGGGCGGGCGGGCTGGCAATCATCGCACCGCCGATCACAATCCCCAGTGCCAGAAGAGAGACGACCCGCGGCCCCATGTCCGAGGTCCATGTTTCTGCCCCCGGCATTGTATCGCCGAGCAGGAATGCCGCGACCGCGCCGACCATGATGATGATGAGAATGCCAAGCACCAGCGTGCCGAGAATGCCACCGCCGCGCATCACCCGGTCTCCCGAAGGCCCGTGAGGTCACGGGAGGGCAGGGCGTTCATGATCTCGCGGCGCTGTGCCGGCGTATAGCTTCCCCAGCCCGCGATTTCCTCGAGCGTGCGCAGGCAACCCGTACAGATGCCGCGCGACTGATCGATGCGGCAGACCTTGATGCAGGGTGTCTCGATCGTCGCGCTCATCTCGCCTCTTGGTCCGCGTTTCACGTCAGCGCAATCATCTGGGGTCTTGTCAGCGGCCGGACAAGGCCGTGATCGGTGCGGTGAGGATCTTCAGCGGAAATGTAACCGCCGCCTTGGCGGTATTGCCGACAGCATCCACCGTCGTCTCGGTGGTGCCGACACGCCGCTCGAGCCTGAGCGACGAGAGGGCCTGCCGCAGTTCTGGTGCGGCCTGGGCGATTTGCGCGAACTTGCCGTGGTTTGCGGCGTCCCCCGCCTTCACATCCGTGAGGTCGATGACGACGGCACCGAGCCGCGCGAGTTCTTCCTCGTCCTGATAGGAGCCAAGACGGCCCGACCCGCCGGCGAGCAGGTTGGACGCCTTCAGTGCACGGTCATCCTTCGAAACGAGGATGACGAAAGGCTTCGGCGGCTTGCCCATGCGCTCCATCTGCGCCCGGAACACGTCGATGTCGAGATCGGGAGCCGCCATTGCGATGATGCCGATCTTGGACTGGGGAAGCGGGCGTCCGGAGATGCGGATCTGACGCATCGTCTCGGTCAGCACCCAGTTGCCCATCGAATGGGCGAGGATGTTGATTTTCTCCGCCCTGGATGCGGCAAGCGTCCGCAGCGTGCGTTCCAGTCCGTCACGCGCGATCGTCGCGCTGTTCGTGTCATACAGATAGTCGGTGACATTGCCTCCCGACGCCCAGGTGAAGAGAACCGGCACCTGGGGCAGCTTGGAATCATGCTTGAGCTGAACCATCCGGTAGAGCGCTTCCGGGAAGCGGGTGTTGAACCCGTGCACGAAGACGAATACCGAGCGTTGTCCCTTGGGGCGCTTCAGCAGTTCCCGGTCGAGGGCCGCGACGAAGCCCGCATCGTCCAGATAGCTGGCGCTGCGCAACGTATAGTCCGTTGCGGGATCGCCGGGAGGAATGCTCGCCCATTCGATCTTGCCGGGAACATGCGTCGGGGGCACGGAAACCGTCGCGATCGCATGGTCGAGTTGATCGGCGCGGCCGCGTGAGAAGATGGTCGCCGGCGCTTCCGCCCGCTTTCGGGTGGTTGCGACAAGCACGGTGTGATCCGTGGCGCCCGAAAGCGGCTTGTCGGATATCTGCAGGCTGCCATCGCCCGGACGCACCGCGCAGGCAGCAAGCACGATCAGCATCGCGGAAAGAAGGCCGATGCGCCTGACGTGACGCATTGCGAACGCGCCGGTCCCGGTTTGGTCTCTCGTCATCCGGCTCTGCATCCCGAACGGTCGTCCCGTGGTGTGAAGGATTGGTTCTGTCCAAGTATCTCGGCCAGCCTGCGGTCGTCTGTGCTTATCACAGGTATCTGCGTTCGGCACTCATCCCGTCGCGGGCTCAAGCGCCAGTCCTGCAAGAAGCGCGACAAGGGCGATCTGCTGGCAGGCACCAAGAACGTCTCCCGTTTGACCGCCTATCTTTACAAGCGCAAGGCGGCAAAGCCCGTATGTCAGAAGGCCTGTGGCAAGGAGCGCGGCCGTGAGCGGAACGGGGCCCGTGAAAGCCGGGAGCGGGGCCAGTGCGGCAAGGCCGATGCCAAGGGCCACCACGGCAGCGAACTTGCCGGGTTTGCCGCAGGCGGCAGAAAGCCCGTCGGGCCGGGCAGGCGGCAGAGACGACCAGAGGACGATCATGGCGGAGCGGGAGGCTGCTTCTGCTCCCAGCAGGGCAAGGCCGGCTCCGGCAATCCCGAAACGCTCCAGAAGGGCGGCCAGAAGCGAGGCACGCAGGCCGACACCGATCACGAGTGCCAGGGCCCCGAAAGCGCCAATTCGGCTGTCCTTCATGATCTCCAGCCTGCGCTCACGCGTCGAGGCGCCAAAGAACCCGTCAGCGACATCCGCGAGGCCATCCTCGTGCAGGGCGCCGGTCACCGCCATGCAGACGCCAATCGTGACAAGCGCGACCGCCAATGGGGGCAGGCCGCTCGCGGCCAGGACGCAAAGCGTCAGCGCCCCGGGAAGAGCGAGGATCGCGGCCGCGACGGGTGTCAGGGCTCCGGCTCTGGGGAAGGCCGGCAGCGCGGCCGGGTCGTCAAACCGGCCCAGGCGCGGAACGGGAACGCGAGAAAAGAACCTCAGGAGCGCGGCGAGGTCCGCAATCATCCGGGAGGGCGAAAACGGGGAGCCGGATGCTTGTGTCGTTTCGGCGCGCTCCATTTTGTCCTCATGCGACTTTGCGATGCGTTGCATGACGGTTTATAGATCGGCGCCCGTCAGGCGCCAATGCCCGCCTTGCCGAGATCGATCGGAGCCTTCCATATGTCCCTTTCTTCGTCCGCCTTGCCCTTCGACGACATTCGCAATCTGGTGCGCCAGATGCCTGGTCCGGATGAGGAGGCGATTGCCGAGGTCCGCGCGCGCGAGGTGCAGCTAACCAAACCGGCAGGCTCGCTCGGTCGTCTGGAGAGCCTTGCGGAGTGGGTTGCCGCCTGGAGTGGTCGCGGCAAGCCGCGCATCACGCGTCCGGTGGTGGCGATCTTTGCCGCCAATCACGGCGTCGCCGAGCGCGGTGTGTCGGCTTTTCCCGCCAGTGTGACGCGCCAGATGGTCGAGAATTTTTCCGCTGGCGGCGCCGCGATCAACCAGCTCTGCATTGCCCACGATCTGGGACTGAAGGTGTTCGACCTGGCGCTGGACCTGCCGACGCCCGACATTGTCGAGGAGGACGCCTTCGACGAGGCGAACTGCGCCGCGACGATGGCGTTCGGCATGGAGGCGGTTTCCGGCGGTACGGACCTTCTCTGCATCGGCGAGATGGGCATCGGGAACACCACGGTCGCTGCAGCGGTTCTGTCAGGCCTTTTCGGAGGCACGCCAGGCGATTGGGTCGGCCCGGGAACGGGCGTCGATGACGAGGGAATGGCGCGCAAGCGTGAAGCGGTCGAGGGAGCCGTCGCGCGCATCGCCGGCACTCGCGATCCTCTTGAAGTGCTGCGCCGTGTCGGCGGACGGGAAATCGCGGCCATGTCCGGAGCCGTTCTGGCCGCCCGGCTTCAGCGCATCCCCGTGATCGTCGACGGTTTCGTCGCGACCGCCGCCGTGGCCGTTCTCCACGCGATGGATCCTTCGGCGCTCGATCACTGCATCTTTGCCCATCGGTCCGCCGAGTCGGCACACGGCCGTGCCCTGGAGCACATGGGCAAGGAACCGCTGCTCGATCTCGGAATGCGCCTTGGGGAGGGGACCGGCGCGGCGCTTGCGGCGGGCATCGTCAAGGCGGCGGTTTCGACCCACACGGGCATGGCGACCTTCGCGGATGCGGGTGTGGCCGGAAAGTCCCCCGTTTGATCAGGCTTCCGAGCGCGTACTCCGAAAAGCGCTCGGTGTCTTTCCGGTAACGCGCAGAAACTCGCGGTTGAAGTTCGACTTGGTGTTGAAGCCGCTCGCGAGCATCGCGGCGGTAACGTTCTCGCCCTGGCCGAGCAACTCGCATGCGTGGCGGATGCGACGAGCGTTTACATGGCGCGAGATATTCTCCCCGGTGGTGCGGTTGACGGCCGCCGAGAGAACCTTTGCCGGAAGGCCAAGTCGTCTTGCGAGCCGGGCAAGCGTCAGGTCCGGGTCCAGGAAGACCCTTTCCTCATTCATCAGCGTATCGAGGCGAGTGACGATCTCGAGATCATCCGGATCCGTGGGGCGTGCTGCGGTCGTGGTGTGCCGCTCGTCCGGCGCGGTGCTCGCGTCCTCACGCTCCGGGCGTCCGCCGACGAGAGCCAGGAGCCCGATCGACAGCAGGGCGAGGGACGATACCAGACTGACAATGAGAGGACGCAGCCATGCCAGCCCCTCGTGGAGTGCGTAGGCAATGGCCGCGTCACTGACCGCTGACAGGATCAATGCCGCCCCCACGGCCTGCCAGACCCGCGATGGCAGGGCGCCTTGTCCAAGACTGGCGAGGGGCAATCCGGTTCCGCTGCCCGCCTGAACCAGGATCGCACCGCCGTAGCCGACGAAAATGATCACCAGCACCGCGTCCGGCAGAAGCGGTGAGCCGCTTTGC